ATATATTTACCCATCGACGTCTTTATCCGGCGATACTAGATCGGTGATTAGATGAGAATTGATCTTATTGACACTGTCAAGCGGCATTTGCACAATAATCCCGTGAACATTTGGATCATTATTCAGTTTGCTGACTTTGTTGATGAGCTCTATTTCCGTCGTGGTGTTAGGAAGTTGACAACGTTGAACATCGATGCCAATTTCACGGGCCGCGTTAGTTTTCATTTTTATATAGACGTTTGAATCTTCTCTCGCGCCTACCTGGACGATAGCTAGGCCGGGTGTGAAGTCAGGTAATTTCTCTTTTAAGGTGCTCACATCTCTGATTAGGCCCTGCCGGATTTCTCTATAAAGTTTTATTATACGCGTTTGTTAGATACGCCAAAATAAATTTGCATAAATTTCCTATTTTTATGAATAATTGAAAAGAAAATGGTTTCTTAAAAAAATTATTTTGTAAAATTAATTCTGTAATTTTTTAAAGTTTAATAATTTGTAAAGGCTTCTATGCACTTTACGCTGTTTATTATTTATTGCGGAAGATATATTTAAAGTTAGTCTATCTTTATAATTGGACTATTTATTACAAAGAAATATTATACTTGCACATAATTAAAAGTCTATAGACATTTGAATTTCGCGGGCAATTTCTAGATACTTCTAATGATATTATACGTATATTTTAAATATAGATATAATGACAACGAATTGTTCTAAAATTGCAATACTTATATTGGGTTTATTACTCTACTGTTTTTGTTTTTATATTTCATTATGGAAGTAATACATATATATTTTCGCATGAATACATAACCTCATAAAGACACATGGTACCGTGCAATGTATTTATATATCTATATTATTCGCTTTAAAACATTTTATATATATTATCTAATACATTATTTTTATATGTTTTTATATATTCTGATTAGAAAACTTTGTAAATATTTTATATTCTGTTGATTAGCTTCAATATTTTTCTCATAACACATCTTTGTTAAATCGCTGTGTCACTGTTTCGAATATACCGAATGATCGATCGTAAAAACAAATGAACGATCTTTTCCTTTTACAAAACTTGACTTACTTGCTTGAAATAAATTAACGTCACTCACCTTGCCAATTCAACTCCAGATAATATAACTCCTCGCACGTCTGTCGACATGGCTCTGTTTAGAAATCTGAAAAATTTTTTAATCTATATAACTTTGTAGCTGGTTTATATATATATATATATATATATATATATATATATATAATCGAAATTAGATTTACGAGATTTAAAAATGTGATTAGATCGGTTAGCACTACTTATTTAAATGCACAAATCTACGGATATAAACCTCTCTGCTTATTGACTGACTGGTGCAGATCAAATGGATCTCGTTAGTGTCCCTCGACCGGTTTACAAGTGGTTCCCGGACTTATATAAGGTGTCTTAAAAATACATATTAACCTAAAATTAATTTAATTGAATAATTTAACTCTTTCACAAGGAGAATAATTTTCCGTAGGTTTAAAATCTGATTTATATTTAAAATTTTATTATCATAAAATATTTAATTATACTGTTTTTGGAGAAATTGTTATACAAATTAATTATGAATTATACGAGTTTCTAGTTATTTATATTTTCTAAATTCAATTTTAAGACACTGATGGTTTCAAGTAAAATTTTTATAATGTAAGAGAAACGCACGCACACAAATGTTTGGAGTAGATTTATCGATATACGTTTTTCTGAAGCACCTTATATATCTAGATATCGTAGCCGTGTTACGTCACTCATACTGTAATTCTTATATGCGCATAACGTGCACGATAGAAAACAACGCAAAATTACCGTCACTCGGACAGATCAGAATTCAAATTCTTGATGATATTCTATGTTATTGAGCTTTGTTGATTCAGTGGTTCTCATTTTATATCGCAAACGTTTCAAAATCGTGTTTTATATTTATACGTTATGAACGTTTTATAAAACATTTCTTTTAATTTTTAATTATAAGATGTTTGTAAAGGTGAAAAATAACGATGATTTTTATTGTAACTTTCTTCGATTACCATTGTTTCGATTTTATAAAACATTTTAATAGAACTTAATATATGAATTTTTTAGCTAAAAGTAAATCCCTTGGATATAAAAAATTATTATTAATTAGAACAAAGTATGACATTGATTAAATAAATGTTAGCCTTACTTAAAAACTCCCGATATTCGTATCATGAGACAATTTGACGCAACGACTCGATGACAACTGTTAGTTTTACTTAGTTTTCGCTTAGATAGATGCAGCTTTGCTGGAGTGCAAAAAGTAATATTAGGAAATATCAAGTGTGTTTGCCAATTATGCATATTACGATAAACTCTGACTTGTTGTACAATCAGCTTTATATTCGATAGAGCTGGCATAAGTAAGCCATTTTCATAGATTTCTACACTTAATCAGTACACGTTGTGTAAATCTGTGATACTTTTTATTTAAATATTTAAATATTTATTTAGCTGAAATGCATTATTTTTAATATAGATTTCTACGTTTAATCTGTACATGCTGTGTAAATCTGTAGTACTTTTTATTTAAATATTAAAATATTTATTTAGCTGAAATGCATCATTTACTGTTATACACGAATTTGTGCAATTATGCTATCATCGTTTGATCAATCACGCACAATATGTGAGGTGCATATTTAAATACATCACTCGTTATCTCGTACGCCATAGACGATACTTTATCGTAATCAAAATCCATTCATTATAGACATAATGGCATTGAACTCATTTCTGTTTCTCCTTCAATGATGTTATCTAATCTTCTTAGGATCGCAAAAATATATTTAATAGTAAAACATGATAATAAATATAAATAAATCCTTTTTGCAATATTTATATTGCATCACAAATAGAAATAAATATAAAAGAATTATTAATAGCAATTAAAATTAGATGTTGAAAAATAATGACTATCGGTTTTTTAATATGTAATTAGTTTTCTGAATTAGAGACATTATTAATATTTGATATACAGCTATTTTGCACAAAAAATGATATAAATACAGTTAAAGCGTGATTGAAGAATTTGTATCCAATCGAGTGAATTCTGATTCGGTTCAGCGGCAATGCAAAGAGAATTTACTTAGAATTTAGTCGATTTACCAACAGTCCGTGTTGGGTATCATCGTCTTCATCTCTTCGTGCCAGTGATTGGCGGATCTGTAATATCGTTAGGCCGCGGTTTTGATCAGCCACTGTGCAGTCTCGCGCTGGAGAACAGAACAATCGTTGAAGATTAGTAAGATTAACCAAGATCCTCTTTCCACCTGGATTGTTTATTCGCTGAAAGACTGCGAGTCTGAGAAGGGACAGTGATTTTTTGGCTATCGTGCGCTTTGACATAAACTTATTCCTAAAATTCAAGGAACATCTTTAATGTAAATTCTTTCTCTCTCTCTCTCTCTCTCTCTCTCTCTTTCTCTTTATTATATTTATGCATAAGCTTCATCACAAAATTTCTTTCTTTTTCTGCGATAATATTCTTTAGTTTTAATTGTGTTTTTTTTATATATAAAAAATTAGACTTTTATTTTTATTATTTGAGAAAGTTAGTTAATTGGTGTTATAGATTTGAAAGTTGTAAAAGAGTAGAATTTAAAATAAAATAGAATTTAGATGTTAAAATTAATTTTGTTATACATATAGGTCACAGATATACAGAAGGTATAATAATTTTGATATGTATATATGCATTGTATTAGTTAATACAAATACTTAATATTTCTTGCCTATTACGTTATCTGATAGGTATTATATATTTACATTCAGCTAAACCAGATTGCTTTATAATATATTAAATTCTAAATGTAGCTGTTTATAATAATATCTTTTGCAGTCTTTTTCAATTTTTAAAGTATAGAAAGAGTAATTAAATTAAAACATTTTTAGATTGCGTCAAATGATTAATAACGTTTAGCAAGATACTATCATTAGTTTCGTTGTGATGGATCTAACTTAAGATAAGATACATCTAGCTTGTCGAAACGCTTGTCCCTCACGGCGCATCTATCTCATATACTCCTCCGAGACGCGTTCGAATCGTTCTAAGTTCCGACGATCTCCTGGACGACCTTCGGCAGCGTTGCGCCTTGCGGCCCTCCTGCTCGTAACTTAAGCTTAATTAATTCCAAGTCGCAGCGGCTAGATCACATGGAAATTGGCGGTTTATGCGAAATTGTCAGATCGATGCTGGCAATCGGCAGTCATAATTGCTTGACGCTAGTTTCGCGTATAGGACTCCATAATTTAGCCGCCCCGCTTTCGAGGAAATCCCACGGGTGCTTATCGTCTTTGCTGGTTGGATGAAGGCGCTCTCTCTCTCTCTCCCCCTCCCTTCTTCCCCCTCTCTCTCTTTCTTACTCACTCACTCTCTCTCACTGATACTCTTATTGTGTCGTTCTTTCAACTACACTCTCATTCTTCTTCTCCCTCTTCTGAACGATTCCATCTCAATTCGCGAATCTTGCCAACGACCATTTCGCACGAAATAGATACCGTGCCACGAGACATGTCTTCCGAATTTAGCTATTCTTCTTAACTACCCTTCAAACTACTTCATCGACTTAATGCTACATTTCCGTTGTTATGTTTCCGGGCGAATCTGAAAGTAGTTGCTTATACAGATTAGATGGTCCAGCTGCTAGTAGGCTGACCGGTT